TATAAATATACTTGTGGTTACAGGCACGTTGCGATTCCTTTTTATTTCTGCTTTTCACTCGTTCCTCAGTACTTGCAAGATAGGCAGAGTACTGATTACGTTATAGGTAAAAGAAGTTGGTCATTTTGTAAGTGTGATCCGCAAACTCACCCAAGGATAAAGTTATGCACTTACCAGCTGATCCCTTATAAGCGTTTCCAATAGCTTTGCTATGATGCAGGTCAGGCTTACAGGTCAGTAGTTAGATACCAACTGCATGTTCCCCTATTTGATGATGGGGCTTATAAAAGCATCTTTCCAACACCTGAGTAGCCTAGCTAGCCTGGGTCAAAGACATTTGAAGTGTCATCGTAGGTGAAATGTATATTATATCCGCCAAGGAGTATAGGGCAAAGTTGAACTTCAAGCACTACTCTTAGTGGAATTATATTCAGCCTTAAAGCACAAGTTCTATTATTATACCAACAGATAAACTTAACCATATTCTATGCATGCAGTTATATGGGTCTTCTAAGCCTAACAATAACCCTAACCTTTCATGCACTTAACTCTAACGTGAACATATCCATAAACTAACTGTAATCTAACTCTAACCAACTCTAATGTCGCCTTTATTAAGTTAACCTAACCCTAACTTGTCCTTGGCTTGAAAGGTAAATTATTCGTTCCCAAACCTGAGCTGCAACTTGCGAGATATCCGACCTAATGGCATAACACTTTGGTGAGCATATTTTATTGATGACAGCACTATATGGCAGTTAGCGTTACAAGTTCATTAGTGCGGTCGAACTCCATTGATAGTTAGTGGTGATTAAAGTTTAACTTGGCCCAGTGATATCAATCACATCAGGTAGTAGTAGTAGTACTTCAAAAAACACTCCTAATTCAGGGATCTTATTCCTAAGACCACACGCTTTCCTATAGCACCCTGAGAGACCTTCGTGTTCACTCGACTTATGAACAGAAGTCTGGGCAACATATGTTTCCGAGACTTCATAACCCGAAGTACTTCACGGATGACGGGGCTAACTACTTCGAAATCATCAGCATGTTGGGCAGCTGGATCTACTTTCTTTGATTCCTCCAAGTTCCGATTTACAATACTGTAATTTGAATCCGAAGGTTTCACAATCGCATTAGTGTTTACGGTCGTCGAAGCCTTATCACTAAGCCCAGTCTTTTTTCGCTTTCATGTAGTTCTTCAGCTTCCTATTTTTCGGTACTAACCAAGTGGAATCAGTTGATTCCAATTTACTCTCGCCGCAGTTGGAAGCCGTGCGTTCACCAGACGCGCAACGCTTTGTCGTGGTAGTATCACCCGGTGGTCTTACAATGTTGGCACTACTTGCCCTCTTAGAGTTTTGGGACTTTTTGCGTGCTGCTGCAGACTTTTGAGCACAATGTACCTCTTTTGTGTCTTTCGAAGCTTGGGGATGTGGTTCTGTCCCAGTCTTATGACTCAGGCCAGAATCCTCATTCATGACATCAGTACCAGCTGCTGGCTTTTTCCCTTCATCTGCGGTTTTGTCAATTTCTTGGACATGATAAGTCCTACAGCCTCTTGGGTGAGGACGTCCAACAGGCTGCAGTTATCACAGTGCAGAGATGATGGAATGCACGGATTCCGACCAGGACGATCCTGCCTGACAAACTTACTGTTAGCTAGGGAAGATTGGGTCGAAGCTAGGTATAAGAACCGTCTATTGGACGTTGGATTTATCGATAAGGTGTCCCATTTAGGTCTCCCCAGTATACTCAAACATTTTGGATTAGACCGACTCCTTCCTATATGAGCGGTTTGGCGACTACCTGATTGTTAGAAGGCAGAAGGTAAGGAAGGGTTAATGGTGTGCTGTCAGGGTGGAAAGCAGTACTGAGTGGAGTACCTAAGGGAACTTTACTTGGTCCCCTGCTATTCCTATTATATGTAAATGAACTGCCGAAAATTCTTACCTCATCTCTTATTATTTGAGGACGTTATTAAGATATGGAAAACTGAAAATAATAACGATAGTAGTTCCATATTAGTCTGTTTATTACATATATCACACAGTGAAACAGAATTATTCATACATCAACTCAAAGGTTGAAGCAATTCAATTCACTTATGAATTGGAAAATCAAGAAGGCGAGCTCCCAATGTTAGATTGCAACGTAAAGACGAAAGGAGATGGGAAGTTAAACACTAGTGTTTACAGGAAACCCACCCATTCAAATACATATTTGGACTTCCGGTCGTCCCATCCTATGTCAGTAAAAATAGGATTGGTGAAATGTTTTAATGACAGTACAAAAACTAAGTAGTACCAAGGAAAATCTAAAACAGGAACTGATACACATAAAAGTAGCTTCGAAACTTAATAATTGCCCGGATAAATTAGTCAGGAAATGTAAAAATGAAATAATGATGGCAGCGATAGTGATAATAACAATAATAATGATAACAATAATAGTGATAATAATAGTAATATTAATGACGACACCAACAATAAGGAATCTAAATTATCAGTAGTAATTCCATACAAGGAAGGGACCCCGGAAGCCTTACGCAGAATTCTTAACAAGGCAGGAATAAAAATGGTATTCCAACTGCCCACAAACTCAATTAGAAACAAGCTTTGTCGTTAAAGAATCCTGTAGAGCCTTTAAAACAAAACAATTTAGTTTATCTAATACCCTGTTGGAATGATTGTCAGGTCAGGTACATACGTCAAACTAGCTGAACATAAAATCTTAGCAAAATCTAGACTGGTTGATCCAAATAAGATAAGAAATCTAGAGAATAGTTCAGCTATAGCACTCACTGCATGCAGTTACACACAACCATACAATAGGATGACAGTTCTAAAATCTAATGTCACAAGGTGGAGGGAGAGATTGTTTATCGAATCAACTGCAAATACATGTAATAGGAATGATTCATCACCTGTCCTATCTGGAAAATTCTACTACCCTTACGACAAATAGAAAACTATAAAACTTAAGTTTCAAAGTCGTGTGAATACAATTGATGTGATTATGAACAATAAATTTTGTTCGAAACGTCATCCAGTAAATAATACTGTTTCACTGTGTGATATATTTAATAAACAAACTAATATGGAATTACTTACTACCACAGTGCCCAAGTTTTACACATATAATAACGATGGTAGATTGGTACTACGAAACCATCTGGATAAATTAACTAACCGCTGAAGTCTGGAAATTGATTCCAAGAAAAGCGCGGCAATACACCTAGATCAGAGGTCTTACACGTCGTACTCCCTGGGGGAAACAGAACTGCCAGATGTTAAGGGACGAAAGGACTTGGGAATTACTGTAAGCCATGACTTAGAAACAACGGGAAATTGTAATGGAGTCACAGCTAAGGCTTCTCGAATACTATGGGCACTTCGAACGACTTTCAAACGATTAGACGAGTGTATGTTCCAAGTACTCTATGCAACATGTCAGCAAACCTCATCTAGAATACTGCATACAAGCGGTGAGTCCATGCCTCAGAAAGGAGGCACATATCTTGGAAAGAGTTCAGAGGGTAGGAACCAAATTATTCAGTGGTATCTCACACCTTCCTTATGTTAAGAGAATGGAGCATCTAAATCTCTTCTTATTATTATTATCGTACTGAAGGGGGAGATGCGACTTAATTTCGGCATACCGTATATCAAAGGGGTGATGTAGGGATTGACGTTTCAATTCTTTTCTCCCCCTGCAGGATACATTTACGAGGTCACCACAAGAAGGTGATCAAACCGAGGTGGAACAAAATACGTGTGGAATTTAGATTGTCTCACAGAGTGACCAACGACTGGAACTCCTTACCAGACTCAATGGTATATATATATATATATGTATAAATTGAAGACGCTTCATAATGGGACATATACATATAAGGCATACTGATGCAAAAATCACCACTTCGTATGTGCGATGAGTGAATGACGAGAAATTTAGCCGTATTTGTTTACAGCTTTTAATTAACCTGGGCATCCGGTGAAAATATCAAATGGCCAGACGCTATTAAGCATTGGTCTTCACTACATGCCACCATGAAATCCTTCCACGAAGAAGTGTGACAAACTTTGAAAGCCAACATGTCTAAGTTTTAGTATTCGATGAATCGAAAAAAGTGATTTGTGAGACGTCCTCTTTAGTGCTGTATGAGCCTTTCAAGTTTACTATCTTCGCGTCTTTATTGATTGTCTGCCATAAGAGTAATGAATTCGAAATCACTGAAATAAAATTGGTAAAATTGATTTTCTTTGCAGTTATCACAAGGTTACTTTTCTCATTTTTCGAAATGTTTAGTTATAGAGACTAATCTGTGGAGAGAGACTTCGAATGGCACCTTAATCACCACACTGAAAGCTTTTCCGATAGCGGTTGTTAATCTGACACTGTGAATGTTAATCCTGTCCTTCATAATATGCCCGACCGATAGCTGCTACCTCGACGTGGTGGTCGGGCTTGCACATCTCAATGACCCAACAAGCTACACTGGCTGGAACTATTGTTTCTGCAGGTTTTATTGTGCGAGAAAGGTTTCTTGGATAGCGATTATACTGAAAGCAGTTACCGGCTTAGTGTACGAATTTTTTTACACTATGGCGGGGATCTGTGGTTGAAGTCGTACTGTTGGGGAACAGGAATGTAACAGCAGTGAGGTGTTTCCCTCAGATGAACAGCATGCCAGCCAGCTATGCTGTCTCTCCACCCTGGATAGGGGGGGTGGTTAGAAAAGGTCGACCCCAACAATTGTACATCCCGAATTACCCTACGGTAGTCCGTGACCGGCGGTAAGCTTACTAATACGGAACCAGACCAAGTAACCAGTTCATACAGGCCGTGTGTAACCGGCCTCAAGCAGTTGTCCCTTGGGCTCTGCTGTCACACAACACTAATAGTCTTTCTGTTTCAGGTACCTGAAGAAGAATCAACCTTCATAATATGAGAATTAGGTAGCAATGTACACATTTCAGTGTGAGAGTTTCACCGCAGTTTCCTCTGGAAAGTAAAATTATTCAGATCACATTGCATGATCCGCTTGATACCATCAATAGTAATCAAGAAAGTGAGGGTGAATGCATAAAACTGTATGCCACTGATTAATTGACTTGAGTAGTTGTATATCACTCATATCAACGAATAGTGCATAGTAGCCAAATCGGAATGATCCAAGAACCGGATAGCGGTTTCGCTTGTTGGAGGCTGAGCTCATCAGAGGTAGTGTACCCCGTTTTACTCAGTTCAGAGAGCTACTTTGGCTGGCGACCTGATGATGCCGTAAATCGATTTCACTGTTTGTGAATTAGTTACGAAACGAATGGAACACACCTATCCAGTGTTTAGATCACCTTGACCAAGCTAGCGGGGTTGTGAAGTTACACCGATTGAGATGATAAGGACATGTGTTACTCAAGCATGCCTAACCACTGCATTCCTCGACGGGCAGTGTTAACTTGCATGGGATCAGGTTGGAAAAGAGAAGGCTAATGGGGATCAAAGGAAAAGATGACTTCATCAGTCAATGAAATCCACAACGGTTAGTTTAATCCATCCACGTAAGGAGGTGTAGACTTACTGACTGGTTGGTGTCCTCAGGGCGGCGAAAACCAATGAAGGCTGGAGACAATTGGTGAAATGTCTGAAACTCGTTGTCAATGGCTGGCGTAGATGCATTCTCTCTTTCTGATTTATAGTATGCTATAAAACTGTACTGTGCTTCCGTATTACTATTCTTTTTGGTTCATGTTTCTGTTTGTTATCTTTCTTTTGAATCTCTTTCTTTACTCTCTTCTCTTGTTTTGTTTTGTGTGTTACATTGGGGAAGTGTGGCAGCTGGAACTGGTACACATTTGTGCAAAGTTCTACTTTGAAACCAGGCAGTCAGAAAGCAAGCACTATTGGTTGGTAGGACTAGCAGACAACTACTTATATCGGATCCCAGTGGCTTAATCGTCTTCAAGCTCGCTGGCCTTGTAACCAGAGGGTCCTGGTTTTGCACTCCGGTGGGTGCGTACTTCCGATGATTCCTAAATTAGGATGGTTCTCTAACTGATGTCAACTCGTAATAAAATCCTGCAACCAATCAAACAAAATCCCTACAAAACCCAAACTTGAAAACTACTTATATCATCAATCAGTAGTATATAGTTGTGATTCCGTCTTGTTGTAGATAAGTTTAGTGACGATGTTGAATCCACACAGACTATATTTCGGTTGAATAGTTAGCGTGAGATCCGATTTTATTTAATACTGTTGTCCTGTTGTATCCTTTCATTTTCGCCCCCCCCCCCCCATATTTCAATTACAACATGTTTTTCGTTACTTTGACCCCATTAACTATCACTTATGTCAACATGTGTGCTCATCATTATGATTTTATCGATTCTACCTCATTAATGTGCAAATTCTCTCTGTCTGTCTCTAGCTCTGATTTTCATATAGAAAATGGAATTTCCTAACACGCCTAGTTTAGTTATTCCTCATGGATTTCATTCATCAGGAAAATGTCGCTATTGTAAACAAAATTCTAATGAACAAAAAAGAACATGGGGTATGTGTTGATGAAAAAAAGCGTTACATCATTTCTTCTTGTAGATATGACAGCTGAACAACTCACTGTATCAGACTATCAATATATGATTGATCGAGGCTGGCGTCGGTAATTTGACTCAAATGATTTTTATGACTTATCAAAACACTTTTTTTGTTCGTTTCCGTTATATAGTTCAGGTACTTATTGTTATAAACCGTTGAATAAAGTAACCTGTTGCCCATCATACACTATTCGATGTGATGCTTTAAACTTCCAATTGAAACGTTCACATAAAAGAGTGTTGAATAATATGTGTGATTTCTTGAAGTATGGAAAATTATCCAATGGTGAGATAGTAGACAATTCGGAGATGAGTAGTACTCCTGAAAGAAATGATCATTGTGAAGAGGTTTCATCGGAGGAAGATGAAGAACAAGACGCAGGAGATCTTCATGTATTTTCGCTTCAAAGTGGTAAGTTGATGATATTTTTCCTAAAAAAGTATAATTGTTCTCCTACTTTTTCTAAACACACAAAATGTATTTGAAGTTTTGTATCAACCTGCAGACTTCCACTGGATGAAACTATGTATACGACTTATTTCAAGTCTGTTCAGGAATGGATATTAGTTAGTAAGCCAGTGAAAACTCCAGTATTGGAGTACTGGACACACTTAGTTGCTTCGTTCTAGTTTAGGACTCATCGACAATACGCGTCCACCGGGGTTCAAACAGTGAATAGTTGCAAGTGATTGACCACAGGATGAAGTTGTCTGGCTAGAGTTCTAGTGAGACGTCGTGACCAGTGTGCTGGTCGTTGAGTGGCGGCTGAATGGTCTACGAGCTTTCTTTGTAACTTGAAGATCGTGGGCTGGAACACTGATGAGCGGGCGCGTCCTGTTGATGAGTCCCAAACTAAGATAAAACTTAACGGAAATATTCATTCAGACATTTCAAAGACAAAAGAATATTCTTTTCGACAATTTCCTCTTCTGGCTCTACCATTATAGATATGTACTCATATTTATATACACGCAATATTCTAGAATAATCGTCATTAATAATATTGATGTTTTTTAAATACAATCGATTTATCAAGATCAATGGAATTACAGCTGTCGTTTAAGACGTAGCAGCTCTCCAGTAGTTCCTGGATTTCAGTATTTTTGTAAATGATATCAATCCGTGGTTAAACGTGAAATAAATTAAATCACTAAAAACCAACTCTTAAAAACATTCAACCTGTAAGAATTTAGCGTGCATACAATTATAAGGTCTGTATAATAATCTACACTATTGTATGACGTTTCGAACACAATTTATTCTTCACAATCATATATCAACAGTAACACTACATAAAAAGATAAATCCTGGGGACTGTGGTAGAGTATAACTCCATTATGGATAAAATTATATTTTGATGATATCACACAGTGCGGTCTTATACAGTAATATTTACTCTGATGATGATCACGCTTCGAGCACAACACTGATTGCTGGTCATCGTCATCAAATCAAGGCACTACTCACACACAACTTTCTTGCTTCGTGGTTTACATGCATGAGTAAAAAAATTGATGTGATTAGACATTTGATGAATAAAATCAATAGGAGATAAAGTATATTCGTACACACTATTAGTGTCATCAATAAAAGACATAAAGATGGGAAATAAGATGTATTTTACAGTAAAACTAAGCAACTTGTCAGAATGTTATAATGTATGTGAATTGATGGAATACATTTTAACATCATTTATTATCCTCCTCTGATTCGACTGACAGGCGGTAATAATATCTTCCATACCTCTGGTATTTGCATTGAGTCACTTCTGTTGCATGTGTTGGGTGTAGGGAGACTCGATGAACCAAGCAGAATTCAGTAATCTCTCTCCCTTTCCACCTGCCTAGATTACTCTATCGAATTTCGACTCTGTCCCAGCCACCCTATTCTGTGGTTGTGTGTTAATGCATGCAGTGCGATTCCCGAGCTTTTTCTACTAAATTACTTATCTTCGTGGGGTTAATCATTCTAACCTTGACTAAATTCTTATGTTCTGAAAGGCAATCTCACTACTCCTGATCTACTAGTTTGACTGACCTATGGGGGGTTGACTTAACTCATAGTCATTGTAAGGTATTTTCTAAATCATATTATTTTGTTTAATTGGGTCCACTGAGTCCTTTAGCCCACAGAGCTTGTCCTATCTGAGTGAGTTTGAAGGTTCGAATGCTGCCCTAATTCCTGTTATATTAAGAAACCTACCTAGGGTCTCAGATGTATTTCAATTCGCATTATACCATTCTAACAAGTTGACATTTGTAAAAATTATGTTTGTAAAATCTCAGCGAAATTGAAATGATTAATTCCAACGTTTCGTTCGGCAATCTGGTCTGAACTTCTTCAGGGAAATTAGTTGGAATTAACGTAACAGAGGTTTATATTATTAAAGGACATCTCTTGTTTTTAAAAACTTTTTCCAATTATATGAGTCATGGAACAGGTATCAACATGTATAATAATATTAGAACAAGACATATAAGCGAACAATATTGTTTTCAATTAGAACTTCTTCAGGCTTTACTCTAATTTACATATATATATAATTTTAACCAATGACGGTGATTTTGGGAATCAAATAATAATCTTAATAGTCTTAATAATAATAATGTGGTAAATGTTTTGAACGTAGTTAATAACGATCATTGGTTAGAATTTTATATATAAATCTATGTAAATTAGAGTAAAGCCTGAAGATCTAATTGAAAACAATATTGTTCGCTTATATGTCTTGTTCTAATGTATAATAAACAAAATTGTATGAACTGTGATCAAAATTTGACCTCAGACTTTCAAAAATTAGTCTGGTCTTGTTAAACACTTTAAACAGAGTGTGCTTTTTCATCAGACCACATTGACTAGAGTTCATGGTTCTAGATAACTGAATATGAAAATATATGCGCTTAGGCAGTATACAATGGTGTGTGTGTGTTTGGGTAAACAGTTGTAAAACATTTGTTAGCCTCTCCATGAGAAGATATAGACATTTGGGATATTTGACCAGCTATGATTGATTAGTGATACAAATCCGTTTTGTTATTTATCAATCAGGATTTGCCATGCATCAGCTAACATCATACCTTCACGTCTGTTCAAACTGTTAGGATTCACCCATATATGTGTAGGGCTTCCGCAACTAGTCTTTCTTTATACGAACCAAAACCTATCTGCAGTACCTTAGTCCTATCAAAGTCGATTTTGTGTCCCATTTCTGTCGAATGCAGTGCAATCGCTGATCTGTTTTCTAGCTTCTTTCAGTCTGCAGAGGTCTTTGGAACCACCTTTAGATATTGTTTATGCTCTTTCACTCATATATTTACCTGTCTGGAAGCTTCTTCTACATATATGGCGTCACAGTCCCCACAATTGATCTGGTACACACAATTCTGTTGGTTTTATCATCCTTAATCTTCATCAGTGATGAGCGTAAGGTGTTAGTTGCACGAAAATACACTCTTATGTCATGATCGTTAATGATTCGCTTTATCTCATCCGATGTTTGTTTGCGGTAAGGAATCATCGTTGTACTAACCCAATTCTTAGCAACAGGTTTCGATCCATCCTTATTTTCCCATTTTAAATATCTTTTTATGAAGGCTTTAGGATAATTATTTGATTCAAGAGTAGATTGAACCAATTTTAGTTCCCTGCTAATCTCTTACTCCACCTCAGTAACTAGACGTTTGGCTCTGTAAATGGGATTCCTGGCCTCAGCTACTTTGGTGGTAAAGGGGTGTGCTGAATAATAAGTAGTCTAGGTATCTGTCCGAATTTTTCGGCTTTCTGAAAATGTTTATTTTAAATTTACCATCTAGTTTTCTTTTCACTAAACAGTCCAGGAACGCCAAGTCATTCCCGTCGGATTCAACCTCTTTGGAAAACTTTATGGTTTCTGACATATTGTTTATTAAGTGAAAAAGTTCATTCAACAAACTACGTCTGATTATGACGAAGGTATCATCCACGTATCTTAACCACATGTTTGGAGGACTAGAGCATCTCATAATTGCATTTGTTTCTAATGAGTGCATAAACAGATTGTCGACTAGCGGAGATACTGGCGATCCCATAGCAATCCCTTCTTTTTTTACGGTAAAGAATCCCTCTAAATGTAAATAACGTGGAATATAGACACAGTTCCAATGCCTTGATAACTTCGTCTGGATTTAAAGGACAACGATCACTAAGCTCGTTGTCAGAACAAAAAACATATAAGTTACTATGTAATTAGCAAAGTGAATCGACCCTTGCATCGTTCATCTTTCTGTAATTAATTTTATGGTGTCACCCTTTCTATCGTTTATTTATAACTTAGGTATTTTATTTTAGTTGTTATTACTATCATTACTACAATTTTATACTTTATGCATATTTTTCTCCTTATCACATACTGTAATTGTTACATAGCTGCTATAACAACGTTTTGTTATTATTATTATTATTATTATTATGTAATGTTTATATTTTGTTGTTTTGAGTAAATTAGGTGCAATATTGTACTGAATGGTGAAAATTCCTTTCTGTCTCATTAATTAGTACTGTTTCTGGAATAAAGCCAAAAATTATTATTATTATTTTTATTATATGAATGAATGTGCTTTATTTTTCGATCATCTATTTCATGCTTGTCTAGTGAACTTCAGGTTGAAATCTAACTATTTAGTTATTCATTCATATAATGGTAATAATTTTTGGCTTTATTCCAGAAACAGTACTAATTAATGAGACAGAAAGGAATTTTCACCATTCAGTACAATATTGCACCTAATTTACTCAAAACAACAAAATATAAACATTACATAATAATAATAATAATAATAACAAAACGTTGTTATAGCAGCTATGTAACAATTACAGTATGTGATAAGGAGAAAAATATGCATAAAGTATAAAATTGTAGTAATGATAGTAATAACAACTAAAATAAAATACCTAAGTTATAATTAAACGATAGAAAGGGTGACACCATAAAATTAATTACAGAAAGATGAACGATGAAAGGGTCGATTCACTTTGCTAATTACATAGTAACTTATATGTTTCACGTCTAACAGTGTCTCCATCACATAAAATACGGGCTAAATAGGGTATTGTAGAATTTTTGTACTTAGTGGTGTAAGCGTATAACTTCTTATATTGACTTCTCATCCTACCTGATAAGATGCAAGGGGATAGTTGTGAATAAAAGGTGTGCAGGGGGGTCTGACAGTACATATGCCTAAGTGGCTCCAGAAACCAATAGAATCTTCAGAACTCATTAATGGTGAGGACATGAGACCTATCCCCTCTATTGCGAAACATATTATAGAGACAGGACATAGAATTGACGTTTACACATCTTCTAAACCTATCCATAAAACGTGTTTGGGGCATATTCTAAAGTCTGTGGAAGCCTTAGCTGGCAATTAGAAAGTTTAAACTACCTTTATGCATTCAAAAACAATTCGTCATCACACTAAACCTGCCGTCCTTGGTAAACTTTCCTATGATATCAGCCAGGGTAGATGTACTGTAACCTCTGTTGTCTGGTTTAGTCCTGGCGCTTCTAATTTGACCTAAGTCTATTTTCTCACCTCTAAACTCTTTATTAATTTCATATATATATTATATTAGTTTTATAGTAATATTGGTGTATAAGATTGTGGGTCACAAACTGATCAGATATATGAATGAATGACTAAATAGATAGAGGTCAACCTAAAGTTCGATAGACAAGTGTGAAATAGATGATCGGAAAATAAAGTACATTGGGAAATGTGAATAATATAATAGGATGCAGACGACATAGGATGAGTGAAATGTTGTTAAAGTAGTAGACTAGATTAAAACAATGTTGAGAGATGTTAACACAAAGTAAAATGAAATGAAACAAAAATGGAACACGGAATAAAGAAGGATAACGAAGTTGTCATGCGAATTACAAAGTAAAGTCAAGACCATGGTAACGAAAGAGATCGTACAAACTGTTTTTGTACACAGAGTTGTTCTGGCTTTATGTATGTTATGTATTGCCAAAGCCTCTGCTATGTGACAAAGCAAATACACTCGTGTCGCTTCGGCAAAATTTGTCGGACTTTTTAGACTATATGTGTCAGATGCTGCGTGGTCAGTATCTACAATATGTTGCAATATGTGTGAATCAATACCTCCACGTTCTCCTTTGCTCAGTCGAACTGAGAGGTGCCCTCGAACGCGGCGATATGATTTATGACATTTGTGTGTGTTCACCCTTAATCATGTAAATTCTGGACCTCTTAAATTAAATTAAAAACATCTTGAAATGGTAGACAGCCGAAAGACTTGTTAAAGGAATCTTTATTTGGAAATCGGTATCTCTATATAGACAAATTATGTATGCCTTATCTTCAACACACGCACCATTTGCCCAGATCTTCGTGTTGTGGTACTTCTGGCCTTCCTTCATACTGTGTTTCTTTGTGTTCCTTTTACGTCCTGCATGTGTCTCTACAACGCTGTATCATTTCCCCTGTCTGAAATCAAATCCATCTCCTTGCTATTTGCTGTTTTTATGTGGATGAACGCCTCTTTATATATACTACTGATAAATCTTATCAGTAGCACTCGTTACAATATGTCACATTCATGTTTGTTAAACTGTATTATCATTTATATGTATATCTTCTAATTTATTTTGTGTATTATTGTGAATTGTATAGCAACTTGAATTGGTAGCATATCCGTTCATAGTTTTACATCCATTCATTATTTTTGTTATTGTGTTTTCTCTGTTACATTTGCTGTTGAATCTCTGTTGTCTCCTGTGATCAATCACATGATCAGAAAAGCTTTGTATGCTTATGAAAGTATGATGGGACGGACAGTCATCACTTCCCGGCCACACACACGCACACACTCAAACGCAAACACACACACAGCAGAATTTAATTGCATGAAACACCTGAAATAGAAGACGCTTTAGTGCTGCACAGCCTCAAAGCTCAAAGGAGAATTGCACGAGGTTGGGTTTTTAGAGTGATGTCCTTATGAAGAATTTACCATTACAGGGTAAGTTGGGATGTACAGTTTTTGGGTCAACCTTTTCCAACCCTTCTTTCCTCTAGGGTGAAGACGTAGCATGGTTAGTTTGCTAGTTATCTGGATGAAACTCCTGACTGCTGTTATACCTTCTATTCGTTAGCAGTACTACTTTGTTCGCAGATCCTCGATATTTATATAAACGATATCCACTGGAATGAAGCAGTCAGTACCGAATGCCTTGAAAATCTTTGCATTCAACTTATAATAATACTTTTGTTTTCTAATTCTAAATTATTTGTGAGATTTCCAACCGTATAATGAAAGCTAGGGTGGCATACATCAACTTGAGCCACCTCTGGCGCCGTCGCGACGTTAGCCTGGCTGTCAAAGATCGGGTTTACAATTCTTCGGTGCGGGCTGTCTTGCTCTACGCCTGTGAAACCTGGCCTTTCCGAGATGAGAATGTGAGGTGGCTCTGCGTGTTCGATCATCGATGTCTCCGCAGGATTGTTTGCGTTCGATGGCATCATCGCGTGAGTAATTCTGAAGTTGGGCAGCGTGTGTTTGAACACAGTGAAGATCACCATTTGTTGAGTGTCGTCATCTGTAAACACCGGCTTCGGTGGCCTGGTCATGTGCGGCGAATGTCATCCCAGAGGCTTTCGTACTACTGGTCTCTGTTCGCTAGTCCTGGAACGAGATGGGAAAGGCGAAGAGGTGGTCAGTCCATGTTGTGGTGTCGTGGGATGAAGGATATTTGTGCTGGATTAGCATCGGCTGGTGCGTCACGACTCCCTGGTTGGAGGACGAGAAAAATAAGTTGAATCGATGGCTCGGAACGTTATCGGATATGGCCAAGAATCGTAATCAATGGCAAACGTGTTGCAATTTCCTTCTTTCTTCCCTTCCCGATTATAGTTGACGAATACTGTTTGAACATGTTAGGCATGACTGTTTTCCTTCCAGATAAAGTGCTTCATCCATTCTCTACTTATATATTTCTACTTTTAATCTATGTTGTTTTATTATTATTGTGTGGCTCATCTTCTTGGTGCCATATTGTACCACGCTTTTCTGCGTTTAAATAATGATAATAATAAATAATTATATTATTTATCTCAAGGTACTGGAATTCAAAAAGAGGAAAGCCAAGCAAAACAACATTCTGCTGTCAATCAAACAGATTGTTCTGGTGATTCAGAGGTCTCGTCGTCATCATCACACTTTGATAGCGGTATTTTCACTTCGAATATTGATTGTACTAACAATTGTCCTAAATCCCCACTATCAACAACAGTACTGGCAACGATACCAACAACGACAGCAGCAGGTGATGGAGTTCGTGATACACCTGTTAACATTAACATTAGTAGTACTAATTCTAGTAATAAGCCAACGAAGGCTCATGTTCGTCGGTGGATAGCAAAACAAGAATATTTACGTCAGAAGAGTTTAAAAGAGAATCGTCCATATGAAACTGTATTACAGGTAAAAAGCTGTCATATTCTATTCAAATAAGTAATACGTTAACAGTGTGTATGTTATCATCGTCATCATTATTTGCGTTGATGGTGAAGTAGGGTAGAATGTTTGCCAACCAGGATACACATGGTCTGTTGTGGTTCGATCCCTGACCAACCCCCCCCCCCCCCAAAAAAAATCCCTCGCTGAACATGGCGGTATTGAACCCTGCAAAGTGGAGGCAGTTTGGTGTGGAGACAAGCAATTCACCACCTAGTGGAAATAAAACTCCTGCTACTGCTACTTTAAAGCTGAAGCTTGAAACTGTATGTTCCACTCGGGACACAATTTCGATTTTCCCGTTGATTATTGATTGGACGGAAATGTTCGATCTGTTGTCCTATTGACATGTCGGCCAGCTCCAAGTACGGACGCTTCGATGATGTCTGACGCTTAACATGAATGTTATTGGTTGAATGAATGTTGATTAGCAGTGGAGTCCTGTAGGTTCGCACTTCGTAATATTAGGATCTCTTCATCTGGAGGTTCCTGCAGTCTCCAGTGTTTGAGTGAGTGAGGGATGGTGTCTCCACTGAGACTCGAACCCAGTATCATTCGTTTCAAATACCTAAGTGGCACTATTCGCTATACCTTTTAGACGACGAGATTGCAAGCGGTGCGTCCAGTATAATAGCTGCAGTTTTTCTGACTGAATGGCTAAAGCTTCAGCATTACAGCATGGGAACGCTATTCTTCACTTTGTAGATAGATTACTTTTAAGGAGGGTTTTGCTGAGATGGCATGACCGGTGTTGACGAAGTGTTCGAACTTTCAGGTTTTCCAGTTATCAAGAATTAGTTTGTAGGGCTTCTGTTTGTTTCAGGTTAGACTTCGGATTGATTGATATCAGTGAGAGAACCATTGAAAACCAGGATTGGAGTACTGGACAGCTGTTTCTTTCTATTTTCGGGATTCATCCTCAGTACTCACCCACTGGGTTTCGAACCCAGGACCTTCCGGTTACAAGGCGAGCTTGTATACCATTCAGCCACTGGGACGCGATTCAATAGCCATCCTACCAATTCGTGATGCATTTAGCGCTACTGGCACCAACCAATGTCATCGGCAGTAACTCACTCCTCACTGCTGACTGTATGGAACCCAGTTTTATTATTTTACTACTTTACACAATTCTTTATCTGTAAGAGGAGATGCATTGTTGTTGAATATTCCATTCTCTATGAAAAACTGTTGCTTTGAATAGAATGGTTATAAATGTGTGAATATATGTGTAATTTTATTGATTTTTTCAGGAGTATTATATAAGACGCCAGAAGCGTTTAGAGAAGAATAAACCGAAAGAAGTAGAAGAGTTTCTCCAAAGTGAACCAGTCAAAGGTGAAGGGAAACATTTTCTTGAGGTATGTGTGTGCGTATTCGCCCGTAGTCTCCATTTGTTCTGTTTGTTGTATGTGGTCGGATTGTGGTGAGAGCTGTCTGCTAGCCAAAATTGGTAGACAGCAATTTACGTCAATGTTTACGTCCGAAATCTTGGTCATGAGACAAGAAACAAGAACAAAGACTAACTCACCAATCAATCACTGCAGACTTTGCGTGGGTGGATACGATTAGCAGATATATTGTCTGACCATCAAAGAAACGGTCACAAAGAGATGACAGAATAACTTCCAGTGAGAAACGATCAATGAGGAAACGCTGTTTCTCTGCTAATAATAACGAATATAATGTACATAGAGATCTATAAATATCTCTTGATTTCCTCAATAAACGATCTGTTGCCTGACCCTTGTCATCTGTCCCTCCACCCTCCCATTGGTTTAAGACTTCAATATGTGGAGACATTGTTTTCCAATCATTTGGACTATATAATTGTGTATAGTGAGGATTAGTGCATCGGTGGTGGTCTAAGGGCAGAATTCCTGTTAACCACACACTTCATCAGGATTTGATTCCCAGCTGACGTACACCTTAGCCTCGCTTAGGCCGATAGTAAGTCCAGTAAAGAGAGGTTGGTTGCGTACTGATGAAGAGTCCCAAACTAGGACGAAACAGCTGTTCAGTACTCCTTGCAGGTTTTCCAATGGTTCTCTAACCAATGTCAGCTCATGATGAAATCCTGAAACCAATCAATCAATTCCCTACAAACCAATACTTAAAAAAAAGAGAGAGAGTTCGGCTTGAGACTAGCAACCCTATCAACCCATGTCAAAAAGAAACACCACTGCTACTGAATCTTCAAGGATTAAGCTTGAAGACTTATATGTTCCTCTCGGAAGGCAAAGTTGTAAAGAAAAAGTAATGAGGCGTTAAATATTAATTGTGTTCAATATGGTTGTGGATGAGTCATTCGATGAGGCTGTAAAACCGCATCGACTAGAGTGGGGCTAGGAATTGTTACGTATTTTGAGTTAGCGATATATCAGGTTGTAAAAGATTTTGTGGTGGTCAGGAGAAAAGTTGCTAAGAATTCTCAAAAGTGTTAACTGGTGGTTTGAGGCACAAAGAGGGAGGTGTAGACTACATGTCTAGGATGCTCGGTACGTGATAAATGAACGTAGAGCTTTGTTTGGGAGGAGTGCATTACTTCAAGTCGTACACTATCTTAAAGGGTGAGGGATGGCGAAGATGATTTCGTGAAGGGTTGTAATGGTGTTTAAAACTTTGATGACTGTGACGTGGAGGAAACTCGCCTAGTTTAGTAGTTTCTTTGGTCTGTGCTCATCCCTTGAAAAGAAATCAGAGGTTTGGCGTCAGGCTAGCAACCGTGTTTTCGACCGGAGGGCGTGTGTACTGCTCATCAGTCTTTTCCGCGGTCCTTTATGCCTGTGAGTGAGACATGGCCATTGGAAGTGGAAGACATGAAAAGCCTGGCTAGCTATCTGTCTTTGATCATAGGTGTCTGCTTTCCATCTCCCGTGTTAGGTGGCATAATAGGGTGATTAATATTGAGGTGAGGCGTCGGTTGAATGTTAGGTAAGAAGGGGAAGTCCATCGACGAGTTTGTGGAGTAATTGCATCGATTAATTGAGATGGTTAGGACATGTGTTACGTAGGTATGCCTAGCCATTGCCTTCCTCGACGGACGGGTAATGTTAGCTGACTGACATAGGTTGGATCAGGTTGGAAAAGTGAAGGCTAGTGGCAGTCAAACGAAAACACAGCTTCATCAGCTAATGAAATCCATAACAGTTAGCTTAAGCCAGGCATGTACGGCGGTGTAGACTGTCTGACTAACTGGTTAGTGTCCTGGGAATGGTAAGAACCAATGACGGATGAAGACAATTGGTGGTGATATGGCTCAAAATCGTCGTTGTCAATGGTTGGAGCAGAATCATTCAGTCTTTGTGATTTATAATATGTAACAAAACTATTCTTCCATGTTACTACTATTCTCTTTGCCTCATTTTTCTGTTTATTATGTCTCCTTTGAATCTCTTTACTCTTTTCTCTTGCTTCGTGTGCTACATGGAAGGAGTGTGGCAAGTTGAACTGGTGCACATCTGTGCAAAGTTGTTCTATGTTGAAACCAGTTAGTGAAATTAGAGTGCGAGTCACAATCCACTAAATTACTCCATCATCTTACCCCTTCTACTATGTATTATTCTACATCGAGGTATAACATTCCTGATCTGTGGTTATACAGCTCAAATCTCTAGTGTCATCTTTTATTTTATGTATTGTGATATTGCTTAGTCCCTCCTCCTACTAAACAGAACTCTGTGTTTATGCGTGTGTGTGGATTGTCGATTCAAAGATCGCTTAATTAACTATTTCGAGTAGTTTGTTTAGATGACAAATTACTGACTACTTGCGCATACATCATCGAATTCATATCATGAAATATTATTGGCTGACAGAAGTACTATACTGGGAATTCGCAAACATTTGTTATCACTAGCTGTTTTGATTGTGGCTTAATGATTGGGCGATAACGTGTATGTCTCATGAACACTGTCGATGCTTAAATTGATTTAGTCTTGGCGTTATGGATGGTTGCTGCTGCTGTTGATTCTCCCACTTTACCTGAATAACTTTCGTGTATATCTCGGTCTTTAATATTCTTCCAGTTGCTGTCATAACGTTGTGATTGCGCTTGTATCTTTTAATGACGCAACGAGTTACAATGGCAGGTTTTATATATTGTTGTTATTACTATTATTATTATTCCCTTTGATTTCGAGTGGAACATTAGGCTTCAGCAGCACGTCTACATTTTATACTTCTCTCTGCACTCCTCTTTAGCCGGTTCCACTATCTGCCGCTGCTGCTTGTCGCCCTCAGACTCTTAACTCACCGTTTCCCACTGAAGTTCCATTCAATCAGTGACCCGGCGCACGACGATGTCACTCAATGATCTCCTGAGTATGTGTCCAATTCGTCTTCATTTCCTTCAGTATATCTGTTCAGCAATAGGTTCTTTGTTGGTCCGTTCTCAGAGTTGTTTGTTGCTAATCCCTACTGACCTGCTATTTGTTCTTCAGTATGGTGCAAACACAGCTGTTGGTAGGAGTTTGAAGCCTGTTGGAAATGCTTGTGATAACAAACACACGTGCCGATTCTCCGAACCATATAGAAGCACTGATTTGTCTGACATTAATGTTGAAAATTTGAATCTTGTTTCTTATCCTTATCCGTGCATTAGATTTCTACACGGATTTCGGATTAGTAAATGTCTGTTTCGCCTTTCCGATCCTGGCTCTGTGACATCTTCGTCCGTACCACCGACTGTAGTTGAAACGATGCTGGTTAAATAAGTGAATAAGATGACCTTGTTTAAATTTCTTCGATTGATAGTGATTGGTAATTGTTTTTGTTGTTGGTTATCTTCACCACCTTGTGTCTCTTCTGTGTTCACTTGAAGCCGTGTCTTCACCCCTTCTGCTGTAGGCGACACCATATCCGAAACGTTTTTCGAGTAGCGATTAGACTAAAAGGCAGTTTTCGTCATAGTGTAAGACATTTACACTGTGTTGTGAGGAATCTGTGGGCATAGTCATATTGTTGGCGATCGGGGATGAACACTAAGCCCTCTGTGCGCTCCGGTACCCCTCCACTCTGGTATGGGGTCAGAGTTAAGCGATTCCGAGAATTATACCTTGCGAAAGTCTATAGCGGCCGGTAAAATACCAATACGCGGACGCAACTCCATAAACCACTTCAAAAAAAATTGTGTATACTTTTGGTATACGAATGTTTGGGATGCCATTCGCTCACCTTGTCACATGTAAGATGATGCTACAGGACTGGACTACACTGACTCCTTGCTTAGAAATAGGATGGGAGTGAAGTGGTTGGTGGAGCATGTTGACCACTTCACTTATTTGGGAAGTTGCATCAGCCAGTCCCAACGTGTTGATCACTGATGAAATCTCAGCGCAGATGCAGAAGGCTAGTTTCGCATATGCCAGTTTTAAGTCGTCTCCGGCGTAGGCATGACATCCGACTCGCTGAAGACTGTATGAGGTGTGTACTGCTCAGTAGTCCGCTCCGTCCTCCTCTATGCCTGTGAGTGAGACATGGCCATTGAGAGTGGAAGACATTAAAAAGTTGGCTAGCTGTCTTTGATCATAGGTGTTTGCGTTCTATCTTCCGTGTTATATGGCATAATAGGGTGAGTAATATTGAGGTGAGGCGTCGGTCGAGTGCTAGATAAGGAGGGGAAGTCGATCGACGAGGTTGTGAAGCAGCTGCATCGATTGGGATGGTTAGGACATTTGTTACATAGGTATGCGTAGCCATCGCCTTCCTCGACGAGCAACGTTAGCTGATATATGGTGAGGTTGGAAAAGGGGAGGGCAGTGGTTGTCAAAAGGAAAAGTGGCCTCATCGGTTAATGAAATCCACAACAGTTAGTTTAAGCCGCGTACGAAGGTGTAGACTTCCTGACTGGATTGGAGTCCTCGGGACGGTAAAAGCTAATGGCTGTAGACAATTGGTGATATGGCTCAAAGTGATCATTCTCAATGGCTAACGCAGATGCATCCACTCCTTGTGACTTATAATTTCCAGAGAAACTATATTGTTCTTTGTCATTATTATTCCTTCGGTCTCATATCCGTGTCTACTGTCTGTATTATGCATTTATTCTCTGGCTTTGTGTGCTGAGTGAACTGTGTACGGAGTGACTTGAACTGGTGCATATCTGTGAAAAGTTCTGTGTTGAAAGCAGTCAGTTATATGTTTGACAGGCATCCGTCAGTTGTCCTTTGAACTGTTAGGTGACGCAACTGTAAATACTCCTATTTTGATGTATTTCAAGAAGAAATCGACTCCCACGGTATGTTGGCAGGCAGTTGTTAAGTAATAGACACTGACACCCTCCACCCATAAGAATACAAAGTGTTTTCTGATGATCAATGTTAATGTGTTAAATCGTATTAAATTTCTATCTTCAAATCGCATTGATATTTTATCGTCTACTATTTTTCTTTATTATTATTTTTATATAGGTTCGTTTAATACGTACAACAGCCCCGTTCACGGATAAGAATTATGAATCGGCTTTAAAATTATCACATAAAATTTATGAACAATATCAAATTGATATTCACAAAGGTGATATCAATGATTGTAATTGGGAACATTTTAAACGGGTTCTAATTAAGTCTCCATTAGTATTGGTAAGTTGACTTATTTATTCCCTTTTTCTTCCTTCCTTCGTTTCTTTATTTCATCTTCCTCCCTTGTTTTACATAATGAGTGTGGATTATATTCCCTGTGACGAGGTAAAGATGCACTGGATGCAGAACTCCAGCCCCCCCCCCCCGTCACACCCGGAACAAGCTGGATTTAGGAAAGGCAAATCATGTGCTGTGGATGAAATTGCTACTCTATGCATCTTCATTGAAAAAGGCAGTCAAACATGTGTCCTTACTTTATAAACTTCAAAAAGAGGTCTTCAACAATGCAGCGTTAACCGGGAAGTAGTTTGTTAACTACTTCAACATTATGGTGTGCAGTGCTTCAAATCTTTATGTGCCTCAATCAACAGCTATATGTGACAATGCCACGTGTTAGGTGATGCACAACGGAAAACTCAGTGAGGCGTTCGAAGTGCATACAGGCAGCCTGCCTGCTATCACCGATGATATTCTTAATTGTCGGACTGGCTTATACCTCAGAGTGTGAGTGGGGAGTGAGAACACAAGAATACGCTGGATCACAGATAAGATTCTAGAAAATCTGGATTTCGGGTGTGAATGATATATATCTGATGACACACAAACTCGAAGACTTGCAAACGAAAACCAACCAAATGGCTGAAGACGCTGACAGCGAAGACAGGATTCCAGGTGAACATAAAGAAGACGGAGGTGATGAAGATAACCACGCACCAAAAGAAACAGCAACAACAACCAACACCAGTCACCCACTACCAACGGGAGAGATTTCACTGAGGTTACTTCCTTCAACTATCTAGCTAGGAAGCACGGTTTCAACTACGGGTAATTGGCACGTATGAAGATGTCAAAGCCACCCAGCCAGAAGTGGAGAGGCAAGATACGCCCAGCATCAACCTGAAACCAGTTTGGAAATCTTCTGCACTCAGCCAGCATGAATAACAAGATTCAGATTTTCAACACTATGAAGTCAGTCGGTCAGTCAGTCAGTTCTTCTATACGGGTCAGAAACTTGGCCAGAGTGTTACGAAAAGGATTTCCAGAAAGGTACGGACTTTTATCAACAGCTGTCTTCTCTGACTCCATACTGAAGATGAAATTGGCAGCCGGCCAGAAAGATTTAGCAACAGAAAACTATGGGAATAAACTAACCAAGAACCGATCGTTCAACAAATATGTAGGAAAATGTAGAGATGGATCGAGTATACATTGAGGAGGCCGCCGAATGACATCGCACGAGAGGCCAGTGCTCGAGTTGAATACCAATGGGAAACGACAAATAGGTCGTCCTAGGGTGACATGAAGATCGTGAGGCGAGTAGGATATCAGAGAGTTCGGTCAATCGTGGACCCAGCTGAAGAGGACGACAGAAGACAGAACAAAGTGGAGGTGTTGTTGAAGCTCTATGTTCCACTCTGAATCCAAGGAGATAATAATAATAACTGATTATATTCAACCACATCAAGTGGTTAAATTTCTGTCGACTTCAGTGAGTACATAATTGACTTTTTGTCATGGCTGAGGCTGGTCTTTGCCCTAATTAAGGACTCTTTAATAGTACGCACTCACGTCTCTGTTACGAGGCAAGCACGTATATCACTCAGCTACTGTGAGCAGATCCATTGGCCATCCTATGAATTCCAACTTCTACCAATTCGTGAAATGTATATTTAGCACAACCGCTAGCCATTGTCAGTAGTCGATTAACTGTTCTCTTCCCTGACTTGGTAGATGTCGCTGGTTACAGCTTGCTACTAGAACTCCATTTAACTTCGTGTATATAGCCAGTCACTAATGAGCATCAGGTTAATTATCATATGTTGGTTTGCAGGGATTTGATTGGTAGAGAACCATTAAGAAGCCAGTGTATACTAAAAAGCTGTTCCATCCTAGTTTGGGACTCTTCATCAGTACGCTCCCAGCGAATTCCGAGCCCAGGATCTTTCGATTACAAGACGAAGTCTCTACATGTATATCGCCAATCGGTAGAAGTTAAAACTCATGGACCACTATGAGCCGTGTCCCAGTCGGCTGAATGTTCTGCGAGATCGCTTTGTGACTGGAAGGTTGTGAGTTTGAACCCCTGTGCTGGATTGGATGTGTACTGATGAAGAGTCTCAAACTAGGACCAAACAGCTAGCTACCCAATAGTACTCCGGTATTCGTCTTCCAATGGTTCTCTAACTGGTGATGTCAACTCGTGATCAAACCTGCCTCCAAACGGACACTAATTAAATAGTAAATCGTATCCTGTTTATTCTACAGTGTTATTCTTCTTGTTGTTGTGTTCGGTTATGTACGTCTTATTGTTTCTCTTAATCTTGATATTTTCTTGTTCTTCTTCAATACAATTCATCTAAAACAAACTACCAAAAAACAAATCAGGATAATCCTGAATGGAATTCCGCTTCACCTATGTTTGGTACATATCATCAACAATACTGGCTTGATGGTGAGAAAATAATTGCTGTCGGTGTAATCGATATCCTCCCGAAGTGTCTTTCATCAGTTTATACTTTCTATGATCCACAATATGCGTCTCTAAATCTTGGCACGTATACAGCATTACGGTGAGTTAAGTGTGAATGTATGTATGTCTTTGTGTGTGTGTGTGATAGCGATTGAGTGAGTGAGTGTATGCATTAAACAGTTAAACTAGTAATCATTGTTAATTTCATAATAGATTAAATTTGTCTGGTTAAAAAACACACTAGTACAGTATTACTGTATATATATATATTATGACTGATGTTTTGAGCACATTTTATTACTCATAATTATCATATCAGATGGCTCATATCGATTTGTTATTGCCTATCTCTTAATTTCACTCATTAGTAATACTACTTCACATATCAAAGTGAGTTGGTGGTGACGCGGTAAACAAGGAAGATTGGGCCCATCCTGTTGGTTTTCAAAGCTCAGGCTTGAAGTTGTGCAGTTCCACTGGGAACGCAAAAGGAAAAAATAAATGAAATAATCAATATCAGGGTGCTCACATAACTTCTGAAGTTTGTTTGTATGATTAAACAAACAAACAAACCTGCAGTCCTTCTAGGTGAAGACGTTCACAAAATGCGGAGTCTTCTGAACACCCCGAGGAGCAGCGATCTTCGAGTGTGGGGCATACGATTTGCTTCCATCAAATGTAAGATGACGCTACGTGACTGGACTGAACTGGACTACATCCACTCAGTCCTAGCTTAAAGATAGGAAGGAAGTGAAGTGGTTGGTGGGAAGTTGCATCAGCCAGCTCTAGTGGGTTGATCTCTAACGAAGTCTCAGTACGGCTACAAAAGACTCGTTTAGCATATACCAACTTACACCATCTCCGGCGTAGACATGATATCCGACTCGCTGTCGATCGGAGTGGGGTGTTTGCTGCTCAGCAGTCGGTTCCGTCCTCTTTTGTGACTGAGTGAGACATGACCATCGAGAGTGGACGACGTGAAAAGCCTGGTCAGCCAGCTGTCTTTGATCATAGGTGTTTGCGTTCTATTTTCCGTGTAAAGTGGTATAATAATGTGAGCAATATTGAGGTTAGGCTTTGGTCGAGTGCTAGATAAGGAGGGGAAGTCGATCGACGAGGTTGTGAAGCAGCTGCATCGATTGAGTGAGATGGTTATGACATGTGTTACATAGGTATACCTAGCCATCACCTTCCTCGATGGATGGGTAATGTTAGCTGACTGACATAGGATTGATCAGGTTGGAAAAGAGAAGGCTAGTGGTGATCGAACACAAACATGGCTTCATCGGTCAATGAAATCAATAACAGTTAGTTTGAGGCAACCAGTCACGTAGGGAGGTATAGACTTAATGGTTAGGGGTCATCAGGATGGTAGGAACCAATGAACACGACACAATTGGTGGTGATATGGCTGAAAATCGTTCTCAATGGCGCGCTGTTGCATTCCCTCCTTGCGTCTTCTCACATCCATTCATCCCAAGTGTCTCTTTTTGTCACTGTTCTTCCTCTCTCATAGACAGGCTTATATGGATTCTTTTGAATCCTTTTTATGTTTCTCTACTCTCGACGTTTTTGTGCTACTGAAAGTGGTCCACTTCTGTGCAGAGTTGTTTGATGAAATTCAGTGAATGGAATCAGCGTAAATCACAAGGAAGCTGGTGGCTTGGCATGCATAACATGCTGTTTTATTTTCTTCCTTAGATGTTCGTTGGTCAGTTAGTTAGTTCTCTTTTTGTTTTTTTTTTTTTTTTAGTGAAGTCGCTTTCGTTCGACAGTTGGCAAGAAATTCTATCATTAATAATGATTCATTGTATTCAAATTTCAAATCATATTATATGGGATTTTATGTACATTCATGTCGTAAAATGTCCTATAAAGCCCATTATACACCAGCTTATTTAGCTTGTCCTGAAACCTACAATTGGTTGCCTATAAACAAATGTTTAAGGGCATTAGATACCTCACCTAATGGAAAGTATGCTCGTTTCTCTGATATCTCGGCTGTTGATCACAATGCTATCCCTAAAGGTATTGATATGGATATATTAGATTCACAAATATACTTTTGTACTAAATATATTAATGATAACGAAATCAATGGTGGTGATGGTGATCAAAGTAAGAGTGGAGATGACAACGCCAATTATAAATCTCTAAGATCTCCTCCAATCTCATTGAAGGCATTACGTTCCCGTTTAAACCGGAGTGCAATACCAGTATTTTGTGAATGGGCTAAACTGTTGGGCAATCGTGTATTATCTGGACATTTTCAAATTGTTATTCATTCTCAACAGTGATCATGATGATGATGATGATACTAATATGATTCTTTATTTTATTTATTTAATTATTTTTTTACGTATTTTTTTGAAAAAAATATACAACTCGTCAAGTATGGACTGCTGCATACAGTTTAAAACAAAAGAAACGAAAATAAGCGCGCGTTTATTGTACGTTGATCGTTGAACATTGATTTTGCGCGCGTGCTCGACACCCACACCGACACGCACACGTATTTGTTTGTCCATATGCGTCTGGTTGTTTCTTTGCTTGTTCAAACTGACATTGATTAATTTAAAGTATTTTTGTTGGCTTTTCTTCAAATCTAGATTTCTCTCAGTTTCCGTTTTCTTTATAAATTGATTTTCAAAATAACAAGAATAATATTGAACACATTGAATTCTTTGCCTACTGTAGACAATATCTTTATTAATAATCGTGTTGAAAGTGAAAAGATATCTGTCTACAGTCATGGCAAGAATCTCACGCGTATTTCTTCATTCACTCTAAAGAAGATAAGAATATGTAATTATATTCAATCAAAAACTTCTTGTTGTTGCTACTATTTTTTTATTTTCGGATCAGATTCGTCATTTGCAATCTCTGAGTTCGGTTAAGTCGAGTACACGGTTGATGAGTTGTGTCCCCAGCGAGTGGAACTGCCGTTTGGTGATTAGATCACTTGGATCCGGTTGACTAGAGAGCAGTACTGGTTGTCGTGTGTGATTTCCAAGCTAATTATATCAGTCAGTTAGTGATGTTTTGAAGCGGTTACGTTCTCTGAACTGGTCGGTTTAATATCGAAGCTTTCACCGGACACTTCAGCATGAAATGTGTCTGATGATGGCTGATTCGTCTTGAGTGTAGCAGACTTCTAGTAATTCCCTTGGCAATTTTGTTGTTTCCATTGTATCTTTACTACTCGTCAACATGCTACACCGCATAAAGTCACAAATTCAAAAGTCCTAGAAGAGCTTGACAATAATTAACTTATTGGAAAAAGACACACGGATACTTATTCCTTTGTAAAGGACCTACGTTAACCGATTCCGATTAGCAGGATAACTACCATCTGACTAAACAACGAAGATTCAGCTTCAGATTTCTGAGATGACTTTGAATTATTATTCTATGTAGATAGTAACTGTAATTCTTACTAGGGCGTTGTGTTCAAAATATAAATAAGATCGAAGGGGAATTCGCAGTCATCGAACAGAACCTTATTGAAAATGGATACCCTCAGAAGTTCATATTAAAATATAGGAAGGAAACACCATCTAGACCGAAAGCCGGAAAGAAACCAGTTTTTAACCAAATCTAGCGTACAAAGTCTAAGAAGCATCCATAGGAACGGAAAACAGAATTATAGGTGTATTGAAAAGAACATTCCCCACCCCCACCCCCTAGACTCATTCCACTGTACAACACACTATGCTCGTTAACCAAGTCAGAAATAGATAAGTAGCCCGCTCCATATGTCAACTTTGGAGTTGACATATTTACCAATTCACCTGCACTTGCGTCGGTAAGTACATAGAAAGGATTGAGAGGAGGACAGCGTCTACTAGATTCTCCAAGCATATCTCTAAAAGTCTTCGTTTGAAAGGCAGCAAAGTGTTCTCAAACGCAATCGCCAGACACCTGACATACAGTGGAAATTATTCAGGCTTTCGAAATAATCAATGCACGAAGAAAAGCATAGTTACTTCGGTTAATATGTATAAATTCACTCTGCTGATCTATCTTGTATTTTATCTCTAATCCATCCTTGTTTCCAAGCGAAATATTTTTTATTTTTGGTTACAGCTTGATGCTACACCGTATTTTCAGTACAGGTATGGCATTTTCAGCATGGATATCGGTGGCCCAAATTTTGCAGGCCGACCATAGATATCGGCAGGGGGTCGAACCCCGGACCATGTGCATAGTCGGCAAAGTCCTAGCCACTGTGCCACCGACTCTACACCCCACTTTGTCTAATTACTGTATAAATAGTTACTCTCTTAACACACTAAATAATTGTCTACTTACATCATCTTTGAAATTATTTTGCCTATACTTTCTATCTATAGTTCGAAGTCATTACAAAACGTATGTTAAGACAGTATTTTGTAACTTAGAACTAATTTTGATTAGGATGTACGTAGATGAAGAGAATCAATCCACGAGATAAAACGAGCTCGCATCATCTATCCCGCAAATATGTTCGTTCTTTCTTTATTCATACAAATAAAGGGGAACCGGCTGTATGAAATTATATATATATATATATATATATATATATATATATATATATATATATATATATAATAACAAGATTGATGTCAACGAGGCTTTCAAAGTCACATACCGTATACCAACTAATCTTAACTTCACCTGAAGAGTTCGTCTGCTACATAATGCTGAGGCCGCTGGGATCTGCATTAAGAAACCTAACTTATGTATCCAAAAAATGTTGGTTCACACAATGTCCTGGAAATTAGCCAAACAAATGGTGAAATTAATGATCACGGATGCATACAATAGGATTAAAAAATACCAGCATATGATTAAATTCCAAAAAGAAAAGGTTGAACAGACTCTTACCCCAGAACATCTGTCAACATTGAATGCTGCCATTAAAATATTAAGCGAACGACATAAGGAACGAAGGAAAATTAGCTAAGATATCCAAACAACCATCTGAAGAAACTTTAAATGAT